CCAACCAGGGAGGTGTATAGTAAGCTCAATGGACCAACCAGAGAGGTGTAAGGAGAACTCCATGGCCAACCAGGGAGGTGTGTAGTGAGCTCAACGGACAACCAGGGAGGTGTAAGTGGAGCTCAATGGCCAACCAAGAAGGTGTGTAGTGAGCTCAATGGCCAACCAGAAAGGTATGTAGTGAGCTCAATGGCCAACCAGGAAGGTGTAAGGGGATCACCATGGCCAACAAAGGAGGTGTGTAGTGAGCTCAATGGCCACCCAGGAAGGTGTGTAGTGAGGCTCAATGGACCAACCAGGGAGGTGTATAGTAAGCTCAATGGACCAACCAGAGAGGTGTAAGAAGAACTTCATGGCCAACCAGAGAGGTGTGTAGTGAACTCAATGGCCAACCTGTGAGGTGTATGGGGAGCTCGGTGGCCAACCAGGGAGGTATAAGGGAAGCTCAATGGACCAACCTGGGAGGCGTGTAGTGAGCTCAATGGACCAACCAGGGAGGTGTAAGGCGAGCTCTATGGCCAACCAGGAGGGTGTGTAGTGAGCTCAATGGCCAACCGGGAAGGTGTGTAGTGAGCTCAATGGCCAACCAGGAAGGTGTGTAGTGAGCTCAATGGACCAACCAGAGAGGTGTAAGCGGAACTCCATAGCCAACCAGGAAGGTGTGTAATGAGCTCAATGGCCAACCAGGGAGATGTAAAGGGATCTCAATGGCCAACCAGGAAGATGTGTAGTGAGCTCAATAGCCAACCAGGGAGGTGTGAGGAGAGTAAGTACACGGCACAGTAAATACTATGTCAAATCAATATAAACAGCTCAATGGGCCAACCAGGAAGGTGTAAGGGGAGCTCCATGTCCAACCAAGAAGGTGTGTAGTGAGCTCAATGGCCAACCAGGGAGGTGTAAGGGGAGCTCAATGGCCAACCAGGAAGGTGTGTAGTAAGCTCAATGGCCAACCAGGGAGGTGTGTAGTGAGCTCAATGGCCAACCAGGGAGGTGTGAGGGAAACAAGTTGTTAACACCAAATACATGGCACAGTAAATACTATGTCAAATCAAAGTAAACAGCTCCATGGGCCAACCAGGAAGGTGTAAGGGGAGCTCCATGGCCAACCAAGAATGTGTGTAGTGAGCTCAATGGCCAACCAGAGAGGTGTGTAGTGAGATCATTGGACCAACCAGAGAGGCCTAAGGGGAGCTCCATGGCAAACCTGGGATGTATGTAGTGAGATCAATGGCCAACCATGAGGTGTAAGGGAAGCTCCATGGCCAACATGGAAGGTGTGTAGTAAAGCTCAATGGACCTACAGGAATTTGTGTAGTGAACTCAATGGACCAACCACGGAAGTGTAGAGTGAGCTCAATGGCCAACCAGAGAGGTGTAATTGGATCTCCATGGCCAACCAGAGAGTTTTGTAGTGAGCTCAATGGACCAACCAAGGAGATGTGTAGTGAGCTTAATGGCCAACCAGGAAGGCGTGTAATGAGCTCAATGAACCAACCAGGGAGGTGTGTAGTGAGCTCAATGGACCAACCAGGAAGGTGTGTAGTGAGCTCAATGGACCAACCAGGAAGGTGTGTTGTGAGCTCAATGGACCAGCCAGAGAGGTGTGTAGTGAGCTCAATGGCTAGCCAGAGAGGTGTGTAGTAAGCTCAAGTCCCTACCAGGAAGGTGTGTAGTGAGCTCAATGGCCACCCAGAAAGGTGTGTAGTGAGCTTGATAGACCAACCAAGGAGGTGTGTAGTGAGCTCAATGGACCAAGCAAGGAGGTGTGTAGTGAGCTCAAAGGCCAACCAGGGAGGTGTGTAGTGAGCTCAATGGACCAACAGAAAGGTGTGTAGTGAGCTCAATGGATCAAACAGGAAGGTGTGTAGTGAGCTAAATGGCCAACTAGGGAGGTGTAAGGCGAGCTCCATGGCCAACCAGGAAGGTGTGTAGTGAGCTCACTGGCCAGCCAGGGAGTTGTATAGTGAGCTGAATGGACCAACCAGGAAGGTGTATAGTGAGCTCAATGGCCAACCAGGGAGGTGTAAGGGGAGCTCCATGGCTAACCAAGAAAGTGTGTAGTGAGCTCAATGGCCAACTACGGAGGTGTAAGGGGAGCTCAATGGCCAACCGAGAAGGTATGTAGTGAGCTCAATGGCCAACCAGGGAGGTGTAAGGGGAGCTCAATGGCCAGTCAGGGAGGTGTAAGGGGAGCTCCATGGACCAACCAGGAAGGTGTGTAGTGAGCTCAATGGCCAACCACAGAGGTGTAAGGGGAGCTTTTTGGCCAACCAAGAAGGTGTGTAGTGAGCTCAATGGACCAACTAGGAAGGTGTGAGGAGAGCAAGGCACAGTAAATACTATGTCAAATCAAAGTAAACAGCTCCGTGGGACAACCAGGAAGGTGTAAGGGGAGCTCCATTGCCAACCAGGGAGGTGTGTAGTGACCTCATTGTACCACCCAGGGAGGTGTGTTGTGAGCTCAATGGACCAACCAGGAAGGTGTGTAGTGAGCTCAATGGCCAACCAGCGTTGTGTAAGGAGATCTCAATGGCCAAGCAGGGCGGTGTGTCGTGAGCTCAATGGACCAAACAGGAAGGTGTGTAGTGAGCTCAATGGACCAACAAGGAAGGTGTGTAGTGAGCTCAATGGCCAACCGGGAAGGTGTGTAGTGAGCTCAATGTCCAACCAGGCAGGTGTGCAGTGAGCTCAATGGACCAACCAGCGTTGTGTAAGGAGATCTCAATGGCCAAGCAGGGCGGTGTGTCGTGAGCTCAATGGACCAAACAGGAAGGTGTGTAGTGAGCTCAATGGACCAACAAGGAAGGTGTGTAGTGAGCTCAATGGCCAACCGGGAAGGTGTGTTGTGAGCTCAATGGCCAACCAGGCAGGTGTGCAGTGAGCTCAATGGACCAACCAGCGTTGTGTAAGGAGATCTCAATGGCCAAGCAGGGCGGTGTGTCGTGAGCTCAATGGACCAAACAGGAAGGTGTGTAGTGAGCTCAATGGACCAACAAGGAAGGTGTGTAGTGAGCTCAATGGCCAACCGGGAAGGTGTGTAGTGAGCTCAATGTCCAACCAGGCAGGTGTGTTGTGAGCTCAATGGCCAACCAGGGAGGTGTAAGGGGAACTCCATTGCCAACCAGAAAGGTGTGTAGTGAGCTCAATTTACCAAGCAGAAAGGTGGGTAATGAGCTCGCTGGCCAACCAGGAAGGTGTGTAATGAGCTCAATGACCAACCACGGAGGTGTAAGGGGAGCTCCATGTCCAACTAGGAAGGTGTGTAGTGAGCTCAATGGCCAACCAGGAAGGTATGTAGTGAGCTCGCTGGCCAACCAGGAAGGTGTGTAATGAGCTCAATGACCAACCACGGAGGTGTAAGGGGAGCTCCATGTCCAACTAGGAAGGTGTGTAGTGAGCTCAATGGACCAACCAGGAAGGTGTGTAGTGAGCTCAATTCCCAGCCAGAGAGGTGTGTAATGAGCTCAACTGCCCTACCAGGAAGGTGTGAGGGGATCTCCATGGCCAACCAGAGAGGTGTGTAGTGACCTCAATGTACCACCCAGGGAGGTGTGCAGTGAGCTTGATGGACCAACCAGCGTTGTGTAAGGGGATCTCAATGGCCAAGCAGGGAGGTGTGTTGTGAGCTCAATGGACCAAACAGGAAGGTGTGTTGTGAGCTCAATGGACCAAACAGGAAGGTGTGTAGTGAGCCCAATGGACCAACCAGGAAGGTGTGTAGTGAACTCAATGACCAACCAGGAAGGTGTGCAGTGAACTCAATAACCAACCACGAAAGTGTAAGGAGAGCTCCATGGCCAACCAGGAAAATGTGTAGTGAGCTCACTGGCCAACCAGGAAGGTGTGTAGTGAGCTCAATGGACCAACCACGGAGGTGTAAGTGGAGCTCCATGGCCAAGCAGGAAGGTGTGTAGTGAGCTCCATGGCCAACCAGGTAGGTGTAAGGAGAGTTTCTTTGCCTAAACAGGTGTAAAGATAGACTACACAGCTTTTCCTTTTCAATGTTTTATAAAAAAAAACCTCAGTATCGTAGTCAGTGTACTTGACATGTAAAGCAAGTTCTGGTGTTTACATGCATACTAACAGAATATACTTCATATGATTGGTTCAAAAAATAGACATGGAAATCATTATCATGAGTATCATGTCAAATGATTGTACCAAAGTCTAGTCTCGTCACCCAGAGACTCACTGCCTAAAGAACACCTGCCTGACATGCAAAATGTGTGGCTCTTCACTTTTAGCCCTCTAAAGACAGTTCAAAGAAGAAACATTGTCAGTTTCATACCACACCAGCTATCACAACATTAATATTACATATCACCTGTACACCTAAGATCACTTGTTACACCCAATGATAGGTAATCTAAAATTAATTCCAATCTTCAGTACATCACATATCGTATTGGTTTACTTCTTTCTCACATTTCAATAACATTGTTCTTTTCTTTTTTGTTGAAAAATACTGAATAGAATTTGCCCAGTTATATTTTCAAATTTGAGAAGGCAGTTTGTTTGCCTGGCATGTGTACAGTATTTCTGAACCATACTGTACTACATGCTATTTGTGTCGACCACTATTGTAAAAATACAAAGCAGTTTTGATTAGACGTCAGATTTATTTCTGTAACATAGGGCACTCAAAAACTTTACAATGTAAATAAATTCACAGATGTCCATATTATGGCATAAACATTTTAAAATGCTTGTTCTCTAAAAATTCTGTGAAAATGGCTTGAAAATATCCAGTTTTACAGTGTGAGCAAAATATGAATTACAATAGTTTTGATATCAAGTACAATGAGAACAGCAAGTGTTGATGTGACATTTGCTTACAAATGGATATAGCAATTGATTACTCATAGTTGCTGTCGACATAGGAAGTAAAGTAAGCAAATAACACCGAATAAACGGCAAGGTAAGGACGTGTTTACTATAATTAGACATAGTCTTTACCTTGCCGTTTATTCGGTGTTATTTGCTAGCAATTGATTATAGAGGTATGGAACTTGGTACAATATTCACTAGGTTTCACTTACATGATTATTTTAATACATAATATATACAATGTTTCAAATCACACAATGGATGGTTCACCAAATAATATTTAAGTATTTATTAATCTCAATATAAAATAAGGACGAAAGATGTTGTAACGCTCACATCCAAGGGTATTGCTCAAGTTCATAAGGATGTGCTTCATCAAAACGTTCTTCAATTGGTTTGCTGAAAGCATCATTTTTCCTAAATGGAGTGTCATGTGTCTTGATTTGCGATACACCCTGAAGAAAAAATATGGAAATAAACATGTTATTAAATACAGTGAACCTGTGGGAAGAGGAAAGGTTTCAAGGTTAAGGTTACAATTGTATCTGCCCATATGAATTGTACATTGAAATATTTAATTAATCCAGCACCAAAATACCAAAGTTGTTTTAATAATAAACAATGATTTTACATGCAGTATGTATGTACACAACACTGTGGCTCTTAATGTGAATACTCACAGTTATTTTCATCTTGTGATCTGACCAGAATGTGATTGGTTGTTCTGTTTCTACATTATGATCCATTGTTGGCTCCGGTGACTCAGATACAAAGCCTTCTACAGTAAAGTCTTTTTTTGTCACTGAAACATATTCTGGTTCTGGAGGAGGAGGATTGAATTCTTCATGCACTTCTTGACTGACCTTTTCATACAACATTTTTTCCAACATTTGTTGCTTTTTACCTAAAAAAAATGAATTTGTTATTGAAATATTAAAGATTAGTACATTTGAGAGGGATATTAATTTTTTGATTCACATTATCCTTTCTGAATTTTAAATTTCACATTGCTCTTACACCCATTCAATCCTGAGACTTTTTTTAATTGGTGAAAGCTGCTAGGACTGAATGATAATTACCGATATAATATATAGAAAATGGTAGTAGGTAATCATAGTCCTTGATAATTATTTAATATACATGTAACTAGACATTTCAAATGAAATATTCTTTTTCAATGACAGATATAAATATGAATCCTGAGACTTTATGCAAGCCAGATTGAAAAACAGTCTGTTTGGTGGACCACAGTCCCTCTATCACCGGTCTGGAAACGCTTAGTATTCTATTGTACTAACCCTCGTAACGGGCAAATAAATCGTTGACACCTTACGCCAAGTTATCCCGAAAATAAACTCCCATTGATGTAGTCGTGCATATCATTAACCCACTGGAAGTTACCATGACACTTAGCGATTTGGGTCATTGCGCATGCGTCATTACCAGCACACCGATCACAACATTACCATGTGGAAGGCTTACGGCGATTTTGTCGAATTCGACGATGACAACATTGATTGGGATTTTGTTTTAAAAGACGTCATTGAGGAAGAAATCCATGAAGTGCATAAAGATAAACCATGTAGTTCAACCAGTGCTGAAAACATACCAGAGAAACCTTTTACGAGGCATGATTGCCATGCCCACACTCCTGTCAAAACTCCACAACTGCTGTCTGAACGTAAACAAAATTTGTCTATGAAATTAAACTCTTTATTACATCCGGACTGTGGGTGGACCAAGCTTTTCATCCTACTCTGGGTGAAGCTATAGAATATAAAAGCAAAAATATAAGCAATGTAAATACTACAAGACAGAATGGTTTAAACTTACCAACTAATCTGACACCAGGGCTTTCAGGTGGTCGATATGAATCCATACATGTTGATATTTTTTCTTGTTTTGCCTCATTATTAGTGGTAAGAATACCGCTATGACCTCTGACACCTAATTGTTTGATGTTTGTACTGTCTTTACTCTTGTCATCCAAACCAAGATCTCTGGTACTCCTCTATAAGAAAAGAAAATGTCAGAAAAGAATGAGAGATTGTGACAAACAACTACATGTACTATACAGTACAGAAAACAAGACATTACTTAAAATGATATCCATAATTCATTCAATTTCAATGTTAATAAATGTAGAATCTGTGACACTGTCATGACGTACACTTTGTCACCTAATACCATGCTGGGATAAAATATTTTCTTTCTTTTGAATAATAAAGTTTGAATAAAATTGACCAAGTTATGCCTGTTAAACAGTTTGTAGACAAAACTGGTAACCAGTCAAAAGTCAATCAAACAAAAAAGAAATTGATGTGCATATGTATTGCAATATGACTTGTCTATGTACAAATTTTGAACAAAACAGTTCCAGATATATCTGGAAAATGATGCCAGGGCCGAAAAATATGTCTTACGGGAACATCAACACTGGAAGACATATTTACTACATACAAATCCAAGGAATATGCTTGACAGTTTATTATCAGCAGTTATATAACAATTACTGTAAAGGGGGTAATTATTCACTGGGTTTTAATTTAGCTTATTTCGCTGACTGGAAAATGCATGTAAAATTTAGCATAGAACACATTATCTAAATGACGAAACCGTGAATTTAAAAACCCACTGAATATGCCTGAAATAGTAAATCAGTGAAATTTAAACCCAGTGAAAATTAGTCATTTTACAGTACATTACAGCGGTGCAAATTACTATGTTTTCACTAGAAAAAGTTAATTTTGCATTCTTACAAACGTAAATATGTATGGCAGTCACTGAATACTGAATGCTCTAAAAAGCATTGAAAATTAAACATGTATTGCATAATTCCCACAATTTACATCTATTCAGAGCACACAATAGGTCCAAATACAGCTCTACAACGTACTGTTATTTGACTGCAACTTTCACATGGTCATGGTGGCAGAATGTGTTCCAGCATTATGGTTATAGCCTTCATTGACAACATACATGTACATTATTAAAGAACAACATTGAAATAATTATTATAAGTTATATTCATTGCCATGCGATGATTGGAAAACTCAAATGGTAGTACATTATAAATATTCCAATGTACCGCCACCCCTTTACTCAAATCCTCCAGCCCCCTATTCGGTTGTGTATGCCCCTCCCGATAACTACAGTTGTTCTCAAGTAGAGCATACAATTAATGTGAGGGGGCAATGGAGGGTAGGAGTCTGGTTGAAGTTGGGATCAGAGGTAGGGGTAAATTGATTTCACAAGCTGTAATATTACTAACTTATAATCGAATTTGTTAATCGTTGCCGTCTACATTTCTTACTCACCTCCTCAACCCAATTTTCCAGTAAACATTTACCATCCGAGTTATTAATCGTCCTGCTAGGGTTCAAGGTAGTCATTATGGAGCGTCCAGACAGTGGTCCGTTTGGAAATAATATGAATTTTGGCGGAAAACTCGACGTAAACAACAGCCAATGTTCGAATGTTTTGTTGCTAAGCTAGACGTTCGAATGTTATGGCTCGAACGTTATAGCGCCATCAAACATGTAGTGAAAACTTTACTTCGTTCACAAAAGATTCATTTACTGCAAACATTGTTTTTAAAACTCTTGGTATATTCATTAATAAAAAAATGAACTACCTTGCAAGTCATAAAATTGACAAGCAATGCATATACTTAATTCTTGAAATCCGCGTAATTTTAACTTTTCCTGTCAATTAAAACGACCGGAAACTGAGGGCGCTATGCTTAAGCCAAACATTGTAATATTGTTGGTGCTATGCTAGGGGGTGTTATGCTCCCCCTACAATTAATTTCACAAGTATATCACAGTTTCACAAAGTTTTCTATGCATTTTGTATCTCTATATATTGTACATATATATATACATCTTTGAATGTGTAACTATTTTTTTCTCTATTTTGAAATAACACTAAAAAATAAAAAATAATAGAGAGCAACTTAGGGATACTTTTTTGTTTTTCATTTTCGCTAATAAGATTCCCTTTCAAAATTCTTTTCACGGTGTTCGAATTATTTCTTCAGATTTGTGCTGTCCTTCGTGAGAGTATATTTCGAAAAGTATGACAGGATGAAGTATGTTGTGTTATTTTCTTGGGATTACGTGTTATAATTGCTAATTGCAGATATCTCAGGTAAGTCAAATTCCACCTCGACCAAAGAAATCTCTACAACGGGATCGACCCATCTATTATCTAATTATACTACGTAATAGTTTGTTTTATGCCAGTAGTAATGAACAAAATGCTTACTCACAGTAACCATGGCAATGGAAGCCATAATGCACACGCCGTGGATAACTCAATTAACACAATATTATAATTTTCCAAACAAAGCATCCTCGATAGATCCCATTTCAAAATGTTGTTAGAAGCTTCCTCATAAATGCACAAGACTAATTTTTTATTGTATTTTAGTGGAAAGTGGCCATTTTGTCAGTAATAAACGCTTTTACCATAGGATCCTATGACAGAGACATTATGCAATATCTCAAAATGTAGGTTGGTCTGCAGGCTGAAAAAGTAATATGCTGTGAATGATTGGGTACTTTTTGTTGTTCTGAATTATTTCAAAAGTCTGTTTTTTAAAAATTGTCAAAAAATGCCAGTGCAATTGTGTTCTATGAAATTGTTTTTCAAAAATAGTGATTTTGAAAAATATTAGTTTCTCAAAATACACCATAGCTCCATGAATTTATACAATGAACATTGTCATGTGATTTATGACCAATTTTCTCAAAAAATTATCAATAGGTTTATACTTTAAAAATGGATACTTTATTTTCGCTTGGAATTTATTTTCGCTATTTTCGCTGAAGGGATGATTCCGTGAAAATAAAATCCAGCGAATATACTTTTTTTCCTATATTTCACATTAAACTCATGAAAAATCAGTGAAAATAAATTTCAAGCAAAACGCCCAAAAAGCCTTTTCAGCGAAAATTAATTCCAGCAAAAATAAAGTATTCCACAGTAGTAGGTTCACATGTTATCACATCTCCCACTGAAAGCCTCCATAGACATACATGTATCAAAATCAAAGTCAGCTTGCAATGTGTTACAAGTCAGATAAATTCAAATTAATGCTATTTCAATACAATTACTGGTACACATATAGTGGAAATTCAACTATTTGATTCATATTACACAGCCCCATATTTAATATACTGTACATATGCTATATTATCTATGAAATCATTATATCATTGAAATATTGCCTATTTTGACCATAGACAGTTAAACCACTGTCATTTACATAAACACATGTGGTACTAATAGAACAAAAATGATATATATCATATTTCATGGCTGCGTACACACATAAAAATTGGTTCATATGGCGTACCGTTTGTTTGTATGTATTTGTATTCATACACATTAATGCACAGAATGTGGATTAGCATTTTGTCTGTGCAATGTAATAATATTTTCTATTGAAGTCATATCCTAACAAATGAACATAGATCAAAGTACAATAAAGCATGGCTGTCATTCCATGACAAAAACAAACAGAAGAAGAAAAAAACAGAAAGCAAAATACTTAGAAATGCATATTTATAAAATATATGTATGAATTACTTAATTAGGTATCTGTGAGGCAGCTATGTTCTGTACATCTCTTCCAATCATGTACAGATCATGTCCTGTTTAGTCATCGTCTTACAATTTTAGACTGAAGGAAATAGTGTACAAGTCACAAGTGATTTAAATTATGTTGTATTACCTTTCACTAATAAAATAGACACCAACTCATGAGTGGGTCTATTGTCTATATTGCCTGCTGTTTATAAGAATAAGAGGGTGATTAGTGATTCCTTAGGAAATTACAAATTATAACGAACCTATTATTTTACAGACAAACTAATGAGGTATCAAAGACTGAAACAGTAGTGCAGATATTCTTGCCTACCGTTCCCCTTTCAAAAATGGCTTGACCAATGAAAAGGTGTATAACCATTTTCCCAATATGCAATGCAACTTTTCTTCCAGCTTCTACCAGCTGACATTCTTTATTTATGACTTAGCAATCATCATTTTACCTTTTTTCTTATTTAATAAATGCTCAAAATGGTTACATTGAACAAATAGACTTTAAATAAAAGACGCTGCATTACAGTGCAATATGTAATTACTGAAATGTGAGCTCACACGTAGCAATCAAGTTTAAAACTATCATCAGCTTTTGAACTAAATAACTACAATACCAGAACTGTGAAGCAAAAAATTATTAAATAAATGTAAATTGCTTTTACTACTGATTGCACATGTTTATTTGTATCCAGTCATCCCATGTTTATATCAATTGGCAGATGGACACCACATTAGTCCTTCACCTCACAATAATACATAGAAGTAGACAGTTTCATGAAACTTAAAACTTAATAAATCAACTTTGATTAATAAGATGACACTAACTATTTATACAATGCTTACCAATAGCACATAAAAACCCACTTACAAGTGTGTCATCAATTGAGGTCATATGAAATCTTGGCTTGCTTATTTTACAGATATATATATAACTTGGTAACATCTGTTGCTAAGGATAGTATACAAGATATTGGAGATCTATTTTCACTTGAAAGATGTTGTTGGCATTCTCCAAATGTCTGTCTTTGTTTTCTTTATCTGTTGTAACATTTTTACTACTGCTCTAGACCTTATCAAATTTGTCTGGCAGAGACAATGTAGCAACTTCATTTTGTAAACCTAGAATTTGTATCTCCCTCACATATATTCTAATCTGGACTTGACTACAGGCTGCTGTCACTAAGTCAGTGTTCAGAGTATGTGTTCCTTTTATTTGTCAACAAGATTCAAGGTAAACAAAGTCTATCAACTCCTGCAGCAATCCATAATAGTAGAGTCATATGCTTCAATTACAAACAATGTCAGTGTAACCAAATTCATGAAATTAATACTCAATATTTATCTAAAAGAAATATAAAGCAATCTGGTGGCCAAAAATATATGTACTGTTGAAAGTATGCCTAGTACTTGGCAATCTGATTGCCAAAAATATATGTACTGTTGAAAGTATGCCTAGTACTTGGCAATCTGGTGGCCAAAAATGTATGTACTGTTGAAAGTATGCTTAGTACTTGGCAATCTGGTGACCAAAAATATATGTACTGTTGAAAGTATGCCTAGTACTTGGCAATCTGGTGGCCAAAAATATATGTACTTTTGAAAGTATGCCTAGTACTTGGCAATCTGGTGGTCAAAAATATATGTACTGTTGAAAGTATGCCTATTACTTGGCAATCTGGTGGCCAAAAATATATGTACTGTTGAAAGTATGCCTAGTACTTGGCAATCTGGTGGCCAAAAATATATGTACTGTTGAAAGTATGCCTAGTACTTGGCAATCTGGTGGCCAAAAATATATGTACTGTTGAAAGTAGGCCTAGTACTTGGACAGTTCACAGTGATATTATGAAGTTGTTACTTCTGAATTTACTACATGGACAAGGAATGGAAGTTATTTTCAACTGTCATACAGTCTACAATTTCAATAATGTCGCAAACTTTGCTTTTGTTTTCTGAAGTTGTTTCTTAAAGGTAACAAGCGTTTTTTTTCTATTTATTTATTTATTAACACACAACATCCCCCGGAGGGGATGAAAAGGGTTACAAATCAAATATTAGTAAAAGAAAAATAACTACATAAAAAGTAAAGAATCAAAAAGCATAAAGAAAAAAATATTATAAAAATTTGTATACAAGCAATGTGTTACTGGCTTAGTTTATGTTGGTGCTGCAGTCTTATATTAAAAACAGTTTTTTAAATATTGTGCTAAAGGAATTGACATTTTCTCGTCACTTAGTAATGATATGTATTTATTTTCATTACTAAATTTGTCAAAATTTGGTATACATTTATTAGCTCAAGGTAAAGTTTTAATCTTATTTCATTGTAATGAGGTCAATTTATGACAAAATGTTGTTCATCTTCAACATGGTCATTGTCACACATACTGTAGACTCTGTCTTTAAAATCCAATCCTGTATGCCGGCCTGTTTCAATTTTCAGACAGTGGTTGCTAAGTCTAAATTTTCTAAATTTCTAAAGGATTTGCAAAGTTCACTGTTTTTCATAATTATTACCCGGTAAGTAGTTTTCTTGTTCTATTTTGGTTTTAAAAAGTTAGGGAGTTTATTTTTAGAATTTGATTTTTTCCTGTTGTCTTTATTCATTTCATTTTTCCACTCAGTTGTTAACTCTTTTTAATTTTTCATCAATTGTTTTTAATTTTGATAATGAGATAATATTTGTTTCATTTAAAAGATAAGAATGGTTTATATTTTTTAATATCAAATCAAGGTTTTTAAACCATTTACTTTTAATAATTTTATTGACATTGTATGCTTCTCTAAGCTATCTCAGCTGAGAGGCTGCATCTGTTAGTTGGTAACTGTAGAAGCATGTACATAATTTATGACAGGTACATAGGTTCATTCTTTGTACATAAATGATAGAAAATACACGTG